CATGTCCCCTTCCTCATCTGCTTTCTTATGTGGTTATGTTGTTGCTTCTCCAGAGCATCTAGTCTTCTAGGTGCTCAGACTCCCTAGCATACTAGGCATCTGGCTACGGTTGGCCTCTGGCTACTACTGTAATACAATCATCAAACTTTTTTGGTCTGCAGAGAGTTAAAAGCATACATTAGTTGAAAGGGATGTTTGGAGTCAGCTAGTCAATCCCTCTGCAGGGTGCCAGGTGGCTTCTGAACATCTCCAAGGAAGAGACTCCATGGTTTCTCTTGGCAGTCTATGCCAGTGCTGAGAAAGGTTTCCTGATGTTCAAACAGAACCTCCTATGTTAGTAGCCCAGCACAGGGCACTACCGAGAAGAGGAAGAGCCTAGATCCATCCTCTCTGCATCTTCCCTGTAGGTATTTATACACATTGATAAGATCACCCTGATTCTTCTACATGCACTGTTTTAGGTGAGGCTGCAAAATATAGCAGGGGAATCATCACTTTTGACTGGCTGGTTGTGCTATGTTCTGTTGAATGCACACCAAAATGCAGTTTGCCCTCTTGGCTGACAGGGCACACTGCTGGCTCGTATCAGTTAATAAAATTTTCTTGAAAGAAGAACATGAAATTCTACAGGTGAGAAATGATTTTCGGTTTCAAAGTGCTGGCTTTCATTTGTGTGACATTTTTGTGAGATCACCTTTTTCATGATTTGGAGAATTCCATGCAGCTCACAAATCGTGTGCGCTTCCTAAGTGCAGCACTCCAAACTATACAAGTTTGAGCAACCCTACAGTTTGCTCATATACAATAACCTCTGGCTACATCCATTTCTACCTTCCTCCCACTGTCTGATCTCATCTGAAAAGATGTGAGATGAGCAAGCTTCTAAATTTCTATTTTGAAGTGAAGAAGCAACTTTTTTTTTCCTTTTCTCAAAAATATTTTTAAATTCTCCAGTTTGCAGCCTCCTGTTTCCATGTTAACATCTTTCCCTAGCTTAAATAGGTCAATAAGGACTATAAAGATACTTGGGGGAAGGAAGTAGGAAAAAAACCCTGCAGAATAGTATGCTTCAAAGTATATTGCAAACAAAGTAGAAGAAAGTAGTGAGAAATTCCCAATGAAATGGGTATATCCTTAACACTAAATTGGAGAGGGATGCATTTAAAGGGTGGAGGATAAGGAATTGGCTGAATGACTGCAGACAGAGGGCTATGGTTAGCAGCTCTGTGTCCAGGTTGAGATCTGTGACAAGTCTGTGCCCCAGGGGGCTGTCTTGGGGCTTGAGGAATTGGGTGCACCTTCAGCAAATTTGCAGACAACACCAAGCTGAGTGCTGCAGTTGATATGACAGGAGGAAAGGAAGGAGCTGAATTAAAAGAGGAACAATTTAGATGAGATGTTAAGATGAAGTTCTTTACTCAGAGTGGTAAGACAGTGGTACAGGTTGCCCAGACAAGTTGTGGATGTTCCATCCCTGGAGATCTTCAACATCAGGTTGGATGGAGCCCTGGGCAGCTGGACCTAGCAATCCTGCCCATGGCAGAAGTTGGAGCTAGGTAGGCTTTAAGGTCCTTTCCAACCCAAGCCATTCTATGATATTCAATCTTGAATTCAGGGAGAAAAAAAAATGTAAACATCTTAGAAACATTATTTCCTGCTTAGCTGGTAACCTTGTTGATGCCTAAATGTTACAACTTTTAGGGAAAAAATTGCTGCAGGGAGTGGGGGGCACCGAGATCCCATAGTGTTAGCATTCATAGCCTACTGATGACCACAAGAAGAGAAGTGCTTGGGGTTCTTCTCCTGGGGATTTTGATGTTCTGTTCAGTAATTTGTGTGTTACAGGAATTGTGTGAGGAAGAACTTGTGGTATGTAGCTGCTGACCTGCTGACTCCAGATAAGTGTGCTTAGCAAGCATTTTTAATTATATGATTACCTTTCAGCATTAAACACTCTCAAGGCATTGTAAAGGGAACTGATCCTCCATCACAAGGTCCCACTTCCTTCTACAAGTGGTCTGTCTGCCCAGGATGTGGAGACTAGCTTACGGAAGGTAAATGTCAAAATGTGCAGTAGGGAGAATGTGAAATGCCAAGTCTGTATGATCTCTGTATGAATGCAGAACCAGTTAGCTTGTCTAATTGACGGAAACCTTGCTCTGCTGTTCCTGAAGATTTGTTTCTTTAGAGCTTTTTATGACACTTCAATCCTCACCCACTCAGGAAGAGGTGTTCTGTAGCAACTGCTACCATCGCCTGCTGGAGCTTTCTATCAAGCCACGTGCAACTTTTCAGAACTCAAAAAAGAAACAACAAACCCCAAGAAGTCCAAGTGTCAAAACCTGTTATGTTGAAGACATATGTCACTGGTATACTGCACACCAATCTTACTATCCCAATAAATGCTGTTCCTCCCACCATAGGACTACCAAATGACTCATTATGAATAACAACTTGACATTGCTGTACCCAAGCAAGCAAAAAGGGAAACATCTTAATATCTTGTAGTACTTGTTTGTCATCGTTTATGAGTGTGGTAAATGGGTGTGTTATGCTAATAACAGAGAGCAGTTACCCTGCAGCATTATAAGTGCTTTTCTGCTGCAGTTCTTCCTGTGGTGGGTCGTCAGTCCTGTGGAGTAAACCCTGCCAACACATGTGCGTGTCAGTAGCAGTATTTGGTGCTTCCCACCCAGTCCACTGGGTATTCTGCACATCACAGGAAATGTCTGAAAACGCTGCGTGTTCACTGACAACCACTTGTGGTTTGGTTTAGAGGCTGAGCAAATGGCTTCTAAATATATGTTCCTTTCTTCCAATGAAAGAGGATTAGAGCTGCTGTTCTGTCATTTTCAGAGGCTCCCCCACCCTTTCACTCTAATTTCAGTTGTTCTGACCTCTCTGTTGTTATTTAGGTGTGGTGTGTGTGCAGTTTTATATTGTTTAGATAATGCACTGAATGTTCATTTACTTAATGCCTACTGTTTGCCTGCATATATTTCTAAGAATGTACAGAGCCATGCAAGCTGTCACGTGGGGAAATGCAGAAGGGGAACCTAATGCAAGTGATTTTTAAATATAACGATTTTTAAATATAACGTCCACCACCAGCAAGCTTTCTGAATGCAAGGGGCTGTTTTCATTTTGGACTTAAAACATCTAGTTGTACAAAGTCTTAGGGAGTGTTTTTGTTACAAATTAATCGCTGCCAGTAAGGACTGTTTATATATCTAAATGTCTGAGCCAGTTTTCCCAATGAAAATTCGTGAGATAAGATTTTCTATTCTTTATCATCTACCTCTTCTACATGCATACTTGTAGAGTTCAGCTTCTCTGGAATGTGTGCGGTTCTTCTCACTATTCCAAAGATTAAGAGATAACCAACTCTGAGTTTATTGTGAGGCAGGAGCAGTTGCATAGGTGTAGATGCTAATTTACACTGTTGATATGAACTTCACTCCAAGTAAGTCAAAACCATGCTAGAGAGTAAATCAGATTTCCCAAGTTAGGTGACTACCTTGTCTACAAACATAGGATGTACACAGTGTTCAGTTCCCCTCTCAGTGACAATTTAAATAGATCACAGTGGCACAGTTTGAGGCAATTAAGGCCATCTCAGGCATTCGATGTCTCAAGGCCAGAACCAATTATAAAAATGCATGTATCTTACCATTAAATAATTCTCACAAATTCCCATTATCCTTTTCCACTGTGAGTGAGGGGTGTCAATTCCTCATGACCTGGGAGCAATTTAGGAACTGAGCTATTCCAGGTGGGGCTGCATTAGCACCATCTCAAATCCAAGCTGTGGACAGAAGTCAGTCCTCAGAGGCCACCCTCGCAGGCATGGCCAGGAGACCAGTGGTGTGTGCCAGCCTGCACTGAGAGGTGGCATCACTGGACAGCCCTCGTTCTCTGCTTCTCACTGACTCCTGGAGCGCACTCTGTTTTCACTTCTGGATGATGCGCCCTCAGGCTCTTTGCCTTAGGACTGTTATATATGGCTGAGACTTGTATCAGAAGCGTCCGGTTTTTCTGCTCGTTATGCAGATGAGAGCAGCAGTTTGCAGCAGCAGAAGGCAGCAACACCACCTCTCACAAAGAACATTTTTGTGCCTTGAGAAATACAGAAAAGCTCCACACACTCACTGTTTGTTTACATTGTATTATTGCTCAAATACGACAAAGCTGTTCGTTCTTCCCTGCCTGGGGCCATTTCCATGCGATGAGAACTTTCTGCTGCTGCAGGTGAGCACAAGACGCCCGTGGCTCCGGCCTCTGGCTGCCAGGAGAGCTCACTCCGTGCCTGCCTCTGCTGTTCTTTTTCTTCCTTAACTGATCTTTCCACAATAACTTGGACGTATATTGTAGACTTCTTGCTCGGACTGGTTGTAGAAGAACCGCCTAATTCAAACAACGGTTTTGGCTAGCTGGGTTTTGTTTTGCTTTCCAACTTTCGGTTTGAACGCCCCATGCGCCCAAACAAACAACTGCAGAGCCCTGGGGCTGTTTCCTTCACGTACAGCTGGTGGGAAGCTGCCGTACTGCTGCCGTCCGTGGGTCGGTGTGGATTTCTGCACCCACCTGCACGCCTGGGGAACGTTCACGTTTGCGTCACGAATCTAACAGCGCCAGGTGCTTCGCAGAGCTCTAAGTCCCCAAATAGGATTTTGTGAGAAATTCGGCCTTTTCTTTCGTAAGTGTCGACACTCGGCTCACCTGTGCCCCCAGACCCGCCCCGTCCCTCCCAGAGCTGTCAGCCCGGGGCCCGGCCCTGCCCTGCCGTCCGCTCCGCACCGCCGCGTTGCATAACGCCTCCCGCCGGGCCGGGCGGCGGCGCAGCGGGGAGGGCCGAGGGCGGGCACTCCGCGCAGCCCGAGTGGCGGGGCCGGTGCCGAGCGGCCCCGCCGAGGGTGAGCGAAGCGGGAGCAGCGGAGAGAGAAGCGCCGCGGCCCCGGGGGGACGTTCGGCGGCGGCGGGTGCCGCGGCGGTGAGTGGGGCGCGGGCCTGCCCGCTCGGGGCCGCGGGGAATAACGGTGAGGCGGCGCTTTGCGGGAGAGCCCACGCGTCCCGTCCCGTCCAGTCCCGCCCCGGCAGGGGTGGACGAGGCCCCCTGACAGCGCACAGCGGCAAGGACAGCCCTGCGCTCGGGCGGCTGCGGCACGGCCGTGCGGCTCTAACGGTGTCCCCGCGGCGCAGCTCCTGCGTGACGGCGCGGCTGCGGGCCCTGCAGCACCGCTCCCCAGCGGAGTAAGCGGGCGGGTAAAGCCTCTTATTTAATGCCTTTCGGTTAAATAACCGCATCTCTCCACGAGGAGCGGCTCGGTAAGAGCGCGAGCAGCGGCTTGCAACTTTTCTTCCCCAGGTGTCGGGCTCTCGCTGCCAGCCGGCTGCTCGCCGTGGCTGTCACGTTTCTGCGGCACTCCGTGCCCACGCTTTCTGTTCCCCGTCTTATTCCCTTCCCTCGGCTGAAGATAACGCAGCTCAGCTCGAGTGCTTCTCACGCAGCAATGTCCCGAGCAGTGAGGATGGTCCCGGTTTGTCCGTAAGAGCCGCTGCCCTCACCTTTACACCCCCATTCGATGCACCGTAAGGTTTTGGCTTCTCTCACGTCCTTTTCTGCCACTGTGTTTATTTCCAAATGCTTATCGGTTTGGCTCGTATGAACTTAGGTCTTAGTTCTGGAAAACGTTATTCCTAGAAATAGCTTTTCTCAAATACATTTACAGAGTGAAACCTGCAGCAGTCAATGATTAATTGTAAAAATGACGGTTGCAAGACTATGCTTCTACAACTTGTCAAAACAGTGCATTGCTTCCTTTCTCTGTTGTCTTGCTATCTTCTATCACTAATGAAAAATAATATCACTGTGCTGATCAGACCAGCTCCTTACTACTACTTTTGGATGCCACTTTCAAGCTGTCCATGTGCCATCTCAAAGCCTCTGTGTGCAGTGGCTATTTTTTGAAGAAGGGATTTGAAAAATGCAGCAAAACTTTACAAGCTGATTGGTTGCCTTTCAACTGTTCTGCTTCTTTTTCTAAAAGTGTCTCAAATTCGTGGGCAGTTGAAATGTGTGTTGGCTTGGCACAGCCTCTGTGTTTGCCAAGTGTGTAAAGAAAGCAAGGAAATGCAACCCGCTGCAGTCCCCTGGCAACTTTTATTTCAAGAAGCAAACTCGTAGTGAGTCATGGGAGCATTGTTCCCTCCAAACTAGCTGCCAGGAAGTGGAACTTGACACAGCTGATGGGCTCTCTATAAAACAGTTTTTCCCTACACACAGTTGTTTCCATGAATCACCCGAGCCCTCAAACTCCCCAAGAAGACAGAATGTATTGCCCCTCAGGGTGTGGTGCTGCATGTTTGCCCCTTCCTGTGTTGGTTTCGATTCTTTTCTTCTGTTATGTACTACACTGTTTCTTCTCTCCCTCCCATCCTGGTCAAAAGTTTTCCACATCTGTGAACCTTTCCCAGTGCATATGTCTTCTCTGGCTTTCATACACTGGCCTAACTGACAAGAGTGTCTTGGCTTTCCTTTTGAGTAAGCCATTTTTGTTCCCTCCAGTTCTTTGTGGCTCTCAAATCATCCTGAAAACATCTCTGAACGCTTGGGCTCAGGATGCATCTGTACTTCCATACACACCTGTGTGGTATTGGTAGATGCTCCAAGCCTAATACCTGCATCACAGCTTCAAGAAGGATAGTTAGCTTTCATCTCTTACCACAGCTTCTATTGGAAATAAGATGCTTGTTGTCCCTTAATCATAGGATCATAGAATGGCTTGAGTTGGGAGGGACCTTAAAGCCCACCTAGTTCCAACTCCCTGCCATGGTCAGAGCTGCCCCCCACCAGATAAGAGCCCAGAGTCCTATCCAACCTGGCTCTGAATGCCTTCAGTGGTGGGGCATTCACAGCTTCTCTGGGCAGCTGTGTCAGTGCCTAATTGTATATTAATATTTGTATACGCATGTGTTGTAAGTAGGTGATATCCTTCTATGAAAATTGATGACTCAGCAGCGTGCTGACTTACAACTGAATAACTCATGGAGTTGTGAACTCTGGCCATTCATACTATCTGAAATCACCACACCTCAGTGTCAAAATATGGTAGTAAACTTGTTTGATAGAGAAGGGCATTTTCATTGACACTCTATATAAGTTAATAAGCAATCTTTGATGTCTCTGTCTGTCTGAACAGAAAGCTTAGACTTCTAACCTGTACAGTGCTTGTATTCTGAGGAAGATTAAGGTTATTTTAAATACGATCTGGGCCTGTTAGTTTCCTTTTGGCAGGACTGACTTGTCATGTGCGTGAATACAAGGACCTTATCTATGTTATGCCTAGCAGAAGACTTGGGCCTGACAGGAAGTTCTTCATAGCAAGGGATTTCATGGGAATTCATGTTTTGGCTGTAGTATAATGAGGATTAAGTTGCTACCTCAGCCTTGAGATCTCACGGAACAAATGCATGAAATAATGTACTAGTGGAAAGTGAGGGAAATCGCAAGAATAAATGACATCCACAAAGTTGTAGTTTGCTTGGAAATCAGATATCAAGTTTCAGGTTGCTTGTTTTATTCTTAATTGATGCTTGTTTACTTGTATTAAGAAGATAGAATAGCTCATTAAAAAGATAGAATAGCACATTTTTTGATGTGCTATGCTGAAAGTCTTCTCGTAACTGTGGCAGTAATAAAAAGGGAGTACAGAATGAGTGAGAGGCCCATGTGGAATAGCATGTGCCAGGAGATTTGTTGTTATACTTAGCACTAGTATCTGTTATTCAGATACAGTGGCTGTCACCAGTGAATCCTAGACTCACATATGCTGCTACCCCTGCAGTTAATAGTTATTAAAACCAATCACTGGCTTTAGTAGAAGAGCAGTCAGAGCCACAGAAACCTTTGGGTTCCTTTCGGGCAGGTGAGTGGTGTTGTATCTGTGGGATAGCTTAGCAAACTGAAGCATGATGAAGACAGGCTGAGGGAGCTGGACTTGTTCAGCCTGGAGAAGAGAAAGCTGCAGGGCAACCTCATTGCAGCCTTCTAGTACGTAAAGGGAGCCTATAAACAGGAGAGGAGCCAACTCTTTCAAAGAGTAGATAATGGCAGGACAAGGGGAAATGGTTTTAAGTGGAAGGAGGGAAGATTTAGGTTGGATGTCAGGGGGAAGTTCCTTACCAAAAGAGTGGTGAGGTGCTGGAATAGGCTGCCCAGAGAAGTTGTGGATGTCTTGTCTCTGCAGGTGTTCAAGGCCAAGTTGGATGGGGCCCTGGGTAGCCTGGTCTAGTATTATGTATGGTGGTTGGTGGCCCTGCCTGTGAGGGGGGGTTGGAATGTGATGATCTTTGAGGTCCCTTCCAACACAAGCCATTCTGTGATTATGTGACACTGCGTTGCCTGCCCAGTTTGCTGGCTTTCTCTCCCAGACGCATTCCCTCTGCTACTGGGGAGTGACAGCAGTTTGTAATCCCCTCCAGTGTCACGCCTTGTGGGGCTAAATAACAGGAAGTTATTTTCAACTGAGTGAGAGAAGTTCTTCAGAACTCCTTGAAAATACTTGATTTTCAAGAGCAAGTGTACCTGTACATATTGTTTTGATCCAGGCTAGCATACACAGTTTGAGATCTGAATTCTCCTGGAAGTGTTTGCATAGCTCTGCTTAGTAAAAAGTGCAGACATGGAGGCCCTAGTTCATGACTCCCAAACAATGTATGAATGGGCCACTGCTGAGTATATGGCCATCCTCCTTCTCTTAATGTAGTAGAGTGATTTAGAAGAGCCATGTTCTGTGCCACAGATTTGCTTTGTGATGTTGGTGAACATGTACAGCTGAGGGTTGGCGTGGGACCAGAGGTACTGAGTGCTGAGTATGTCATTGGGTCTGGCATCATCTATCAGAGGCTGCTCTGAAATGTAGACTCTATGAGAACTCATATCTCCATCTGTGAAAGGGGATGCTAACATCTCACTTTATGGATGATGATAGTTGATGCTGTGTCGGAGGTGTCATGCTAAGATACAGTAAGCAACCATAGTGTGTCTAGGTACTTGGACTGACTTATTTACAAACCAAGATTAGAGCAAGATTATCTTACACTGATTTATCTCACCTGTTCATTCAATTGGACTGATACAACAGCAGTGAATAATAGACTATGAAAAAAATGTTACGGTTACTTTAGCTGTCTCCTCTTCATCGTAATGCAGCAGTGTGATGTGATTTCAAGCATTGCATCCTTTCTTTTGTTTTCTAATCATTATAACTAGGCACTCCTAAAAATATATATTGCCTCTGATTGAGGAATAGTTTAAGAGATGTATCTGATCATTACCTAGATGCTGAACTCATTTTCAGTGCAGCCTGCAGAAGTTCAGGGACACTGAAGATGGAAAGTGAACAGATACTGATGTACCCACCACATTTTCAAGTCACTCAGATGGAGAGGTGATGTTGTGTGAGGAGGTCATGTCAGTAACGAAGAGAAACCAATCTTTGAAGCTGCTGGTTCTTCCCCAAGCTGTATATTTCCTGTAACTTAAATGGCTGATTTTTCTTCAAGTTCATTTCCTTGCATGAGCACTGCTGTGGCCCTGTGGGAATGCAATAGCTGTTATGTGAATGGCAGATGACATGTGACATATGACAAATACAGGTGATGTTCCATATTTCAGTCAGCAGAAATGCTTTATAGCCACAGTGGTGGAAACGAGCAGTCAAGGCACATGCTCTTTGTAATACACACATCTAATAATGCTAGCTCAGTAAGAGAAGAGCCTATGTTAATTTAGATCTTTAGATAAAGAAAGCACCCAAGGAAAAAATTTCTCACTGCCTTGTCATTTAAGTCTATAGGAAAATCTTGGTTCTGTGGCATTGTTGCCATTGGCTTTGGCAGAGATCTGGATTTTCTCTTGTATTCTCAAATTACAGACCTGTTCCTAAATTAGTTGTTTTGGGAGTAGGTGCATATTGGTGTGAGACCCACGTCCACAGAGAATACCTTCAGCCTAACAGAAGGGAAAATAAGCTCAAGCCCTTCTGTTATTATTATTATTTTTTTTTTCCTCCTTACATGCATAAGCTTAAAATTGTTGTAGAACCTTTACCCCTCTTCTCATGTCCTTGGACCTTAACTATTGCTTTATTCTTTTTGAGACACTTGTAGTATAGAGATAATTTCTTTACCCAGAATGTTTGGCTCTTCAAATCTGATTCCAGGCATAACTGCTTCTCCTCTGAAGGATTTCAGTGAGAAGATTCATTGGGTCCAAGCTCATGGTAACTGCACTGCAGCTCCTTGTCAGACAAATGGTCCTGTGT